TAAGGCTTGTTAGAAGCGGAAGATTTGTCTTCTATAGGGATATAATTGCTACTCGCCTTTCTTATTGAGATGCGCACTGGTGACAGTTGCTTGTCTCCAAAACCTTCACGTGGTTGCCTCGTTGCAGCTTCTGATGGGAGCTTCCCCTACTTTGACGGCTTATTGGGATTGTATCCAGCTTTTGCAAATAGCTTGTAAGCGTTAGGGTCAAAACCTTCATCTGTTCTCTTTGTAGGGAGTGCCACATTCTGCAAACGATTTTGGGCTACAAACACTGCAAGTGGCTTTGAGGACAACTTTACTGCCTCAATTCATTTTGCCGAAAGAGTTAACTCTTTAGCGTGTTAGTTTGGAGATTAGATGATTCACCCTCGTCTTTCTTCCTTTTAGGGATATATTGGAGCGCGGGACTTACTTTCTTTCCATAAGACGCAATATCCCCTCTATGTCGCCTTGGCGTGTACCTCCTCAGTAACAACTTTGGCTTTACCAATAGTCACTTAGCTCTTTTAGTTATGAGCTCGTCATTCTTGCTTTTCATGCCATCATTAACTTTTATCTCCTTCACAATGCGGTTCTTCTAGTAGAATTTTGCATCGGCGAAGTGTGACTCTGCCTCGGTGAATGACTCATCATCAGCAACTATCTTCTTCTCGACTTCACCCTCGTAGTATTTTAAATATTTATGGTAGGTAGATGGAACTACATTATTCTCATGTATCCAAGGACTTCCAAGCAAGACATTTTATGAAGTCTTCGCGTCATTACATGCAGCCATGCACTTGATTGCATATCTTCAATGGCGATTTCCAACTTGATCGAGCCTATGGCTCTTCGCCCCCCTTGGTTGAATCCTTGGATCATCACACGACTTTCTGAGAGTTCGTTCATGGGAATTCCAAGCTCTTTCACAGTGCGAATTGGCAAAATGTTCACTGAAGATCCTCTATCAACCAAAATTTGATTTACCCTTTCATCGCGCATATATACAACCGGGTACAATGGGCGGTTATGAAGAGTGTCACCTAGCATAAGATTGTTATTTGTGAACGTGACTATTTCCTCACAAGCATTAACTTCTTGGGGAGTGGACTCGATGAGCTTTTTCGAAGATGGTACCAACGGTAGGTCATCACTCTTTTCCTCCCCTTCGTTAGCATGTCAACAAGAAGCATCGATAACCCCATGGGAAATCTTCATGCGAAACCAACTTGGTAAAAATTCCTCCAAGGTCATTGGATTTCGTGGCTTTTGAGAGTGGTGCACCTCCACTTTTGCTTTCTTTAAGTGCTTAACCGGATTCCATCTCCTTGGTCTTTTTACCATCATTTTCCTTGGTGGTTGTTCTACTGATTCTTTTCGTGGGCTCCTTCTGTGGTGCCTACGACGAGTCACTAACGTCCAACCTTCATCATCATCAGGTGGATTGACTTCAGCTTTGTCGTTCTCCAGTAATTCTTCATCTTTACTTTCTTCAAAACCACATAATTCATCGGGAGTGAATGAGCCAAAGGTGATAGAGACTTCGCTTGCTTTCTCATATTCAAGCACGATCTTCTTTTCGCGAGACAAGTCCATAACTTTGTCCTTGAAGATAAAGCACTTCTCCAGAGGGTGGCTCACAAGTCAATGGTATTCGCAGTAATTTGGGTCATTTGTTTTCCCAGCTTCATTTGGTCGCTTCATCTCCGGAAGCTCAATAAGAGTTAACACGAGGAGTTCTTCAAAAATAGCTGGCACATCAGAATCCAGAAATGGGTACTCTTTCTCTTGCATTTCTTTTAGAGTCAACTTTCCACTTGGCTTATCTTGAAAAGAAGTGGATTTTATACTCTGCTTCTTGCTCACCTTCGTTGTGAACTTCACAGGTGATGTGTTGACATTCATAGCTTCTTTGTCTTCAGATTTGGGTACAAACTTTCTCCATTTACTGACTTCTTACTTGTCTTTCCCTTTTCGAAGTTCATAGATAGGGAAACTTTCATTTCCATCGGAGGCCATGCTCAACTCCATGTCATGGGCACGAGTCGCAAGTTCTTCAAATGTGCCAGACTTGATACCTTGCAAGATGTAGCGTAGCCCCCAATGCATGCCTTGGATGCACATCTCTATGCCCGAAGCTTCACTAAGCCTATCTTTGCAGTTGAGGCTTGCATTCCTCCAACGATTGATAAAATGGACAACTAGTTCACCCTTTCGTTGACAAGTATTTGTAAGTTCTATCATACTCACAGTACGTCTCGTGCTATAAAATTGATTGAGGTATTCTTGCTTTAGTTGATCCCAGCTATCAATAGATCCAGCCTCGAGGTCTGTGTACCAATCAAAAGCATTTCCTTTTAATGAGCGGACAAGTTGCTTGACGAGGTAATCTCCATAAGTCCCAGCATTGTTGCATGTCTCAACGAAGTGCGCCACATGTTCCTTTGGATTGACTTTGCCATCAAACTATTGAAATGCTGGAGGTTTATAGCCAGCAGACATCTTCAACAGATCGATCCTTGAAGTGTACGACTTTGCGTAGGTAAAGGAGGACTTGGAAGCGGCTTCATATTTTTTTTATAGTCCTTTCAATGAACTCCTTTAGTTGATTGATTGGAATCATCCCTTCCGAAGAGACTGGAATTTCCTGAGTGGATGCAACTTGTCGTGGGGGAGGATCAATCTCTTGAACTTTTAGGAGTTTGCCGGGTGCATGGGTGGATTATTCTTCCATCAAGATTCCCACCCTGTCTGTTAGCTTGTCAATTCTAGCCTCTTGATTTTGCATGCATTTGGTCAAGCCAGCGATTGCTTCCGTCAAGTTTGCCAAATGCTCCTCCACAGATGAAGTGTTTGGCTTGCATGATTGTCGTAGACGATGGAGAGTAGCATGGATTTTCACACAGATTGATCCTTGATTGGCTCACGCTATGTGGTGTGAGTGGGGAGGATCCATCACTTGAAGCATCATCATCTTCCTTCACAGCAGAGTGCTTGGAGCCGGAGAGGTCAAGTAGAGCAAGTGTTTTCTTGATCTTTTCAGCAACATCGCTTCCTCCTTCAGGTGCGTTTGTGGAAGATCTTGCTCTTTTTTGAGGATAAAGATCCGAAAACAGGGGTTGATGCGGACGACACTTTGGGTGCTTGTTGTCCTAAAGAGCTTGCTTTGCTCCTCGTAACTGGTCCGAAGCTTCCAAAGGTAACATCGAGGATGCTTTCCACATCAGCATAGAACCTGGAGTTAGTAGCCTTGGTGGAAGTTGAACCGAAGTTGATTTTCTTTGAAACCATTTCAATGTTCTTGAACTTTGGTGATTGAAAAGTTGAGATGAGAGGTAGAAATTGTCCCACTGGGCGTGCCAGAATTTGTAGACAATAAATTTGTGTCGATAAAACAAAATCAAGCCGAAAAATATTGCAACAATCGTAGTATTTGATTTCAAATAATTGAGTGTACAATCTCTATGAATCCTCTGATTCTTCTTTCCAATTGTAAATAAATTCAAGCCGAAAAATATTGCAACAATCGTAGTATTTGATTTCAAATAATTGAGTGTACAATCTCTATGAATCCTTTGATTCTTCTTTCCAATTGTAAATAAATTCAAGGGCCTTCGAGCTTCATCTTGAATTTGATTTGTTCTTCGTTCTTGAACTTGAACTAGATTTATTCTTCGTTCTTGAACTTGAACTTGAACTTGATTGCTTTAAGCTTGAAACTTGTTGTAGATAATAAATTTGCGTCACTGTGAATTGTCTACAATATTATTGAACTGCAAATTTTACTGTGAATTGGGAAATAATATTTTCTCATCTCCTTCTCCTCCTCCAAAAAATAAGCTACTTAAGACTTGGAAAGTAATGCTAAAACATTTTTTTGGCTGAGACGCTGAACCACAAGTCACAACGAATTTTTAGAATTTGGCGAATAAGAAAGCAATGACATAATTCTTTCCCTTTTACACATGATTGGAGAATTAAACAAGATAATTGAATATTTCTTCTGCACCTAAATGGGAGGAATAAACTTGATAAATCCCATGTCTCTAAATGCCAAAAAAAAGATATATGAGAAAAATGTCATAAAACCCTGGGTATTGCCTAAAGTTGAAGCTATTGACTGAATTCTTTTTGGATTTAAGTTTTTGCAACTGACAGTATAAAAGACTTTTATACTATCAGTGCAATTTAATTGGTTTTTAGTATGTTATCGATTTGAGCCGCGGGTCTATTGAAAACGGCCTCTCTATCCTCACAAGGTAGGGGTAAGGTCTGCATACACACTACCCTCCCCAACCCTTGTCTTTTTTTGTTGTAAGTTATCAATTTATTTTTCAGGTTACTGTATCAGACTTGATATAAAAAGTTACCAATTATTGTATCAATTTTACTGGATGGTTGTAAAAAATTCATTAACTGTCAGTCCACAAAAACTTAAAACCTTTTTTTTCCTAAGCATCTTTTGCCTATCCCCAATTAGACAGATGAAGCACTTTATGGCCGGCTGATAAGAAGGATATTTTGGAAGTTTAGTGGATAATGGCATCAAGGAAAGAAAGGAATAGCAATGGTGTTATTCTTGTTTCTTGAAATGCCTTTAGGTTCGGCTTAGAATCTATGCCCAAGCTTTGCGCTAAGTTGCAACCAATATTCTTAAATCTTTGTCTACTTTCTAGCTCACTGTTGCTTTCGGTTCAAGTTTAACTTTTGTACATTGACATGTGTAAATAAATTTTTATGCTATTAAGTCACTTACAAATAATTGTTTATAAGTGGAGTAAGTTACCTGGAAAAAGATTTTTAACGTATAAATATTGACAAATTAGAGCCCTTTATCATCAAAAGAAAGATTAAATAATTATTAGGTAAAATAGTCGCAGATTTTTTTAGGGAAGTAGGATTTTGGTCATATTGTAAGGTGAATTGGGAATAAAGAACATCAAAAGCATTCTGGCCCATGGGATATCTGAGTGCGCTCTTGTACTGCGACAGCTTTAATTCCAGGAAGTTAAGGCAACTTAGCTAGTTGCGAATGTTATATACTCACATTTCACTACAAGCCTGCAAGTTGTAACATCAAAGTAAACCAACAAAATTCACCTTCTTAACAATGTCGAATAGTACTACAAGTTTCCTCTATTTTCGTTTCAACAGTTTTAGAAAGTCATCGTCCAAATCTAGCCCATCATTTAACCTGTCAAAGGTAAAGAACACGCCAAGCATGTCGTTGCCTAATCTCCGTCCAAAAGCGGAGGAAATGAAAAGGGTGTTTGACAAATTTGACACTAACAAAGATGGGAAGATCTCACAAGAAGAATACAAATCAGCCATGAAGATGATGGGCAGTGGAGGAAATACGAAAACTTATGACGTTGGCGATGCATTTCAGGCTGCAGATACTGATGGGGATGGATTCATTAATTTTGAGGAGTTCATGAGAGTGCAGAATCTTGAAGGTGGTGTGAATCCAACTGATATTAAAAGCGCTTTCGAGGCATTTGATTTGGATGGTGATGGCAAAATTAGTGCAGAGGAATTGTTGCAGGTTCAGCGAATGCTAGGAGAAAAATGTAGCTTGGAGAATTGCAAGAAAATGGTGAGAGGTGTTGATGCCAATGGGGATGGACTTATAGATATGGACGAATTTGTGACCATGATGACGCGCACCATGAAACTAGTCTAGAGTCCAGGGATCGATTCACTCTGTGTAGATTGATTTACTTTCTTCCTAATTGCCTTGTTTGCAAATAAAATATCATGTTTACTGATATTTGAGTTGTTATGCTAATTGAATTTCAAAAAGGACTACCAAGAAAGATATAGAGGTTCTATTGTAGCAATATCATTTTAAGTTACTATGATCTTGTTCTGAACCAGAAGTGATGCCCTTAACTTGCAAAATTAAGAAACAAATCTGCCAGTAAATTAGTTTGTCAATGTTAATTGGCCTTAGCAACCGAAACACAGAGTGAAATCAGGAGCCATAACATTCTTAATGTCCTTCTAATGCGATTATGCGAATAAAGCTGGTCAAATAGAAATGGGCTATTTTCATGGCTCGAACCCGTGAACTCCTGGTCACATGACAACAACTTTATCAGTTACGCCAAGGCTCCCCTTCAAAGCTGGCCAAATAGGAAACTGAAAAAAATGGAGAAATTGCACGGAAAGACAGAGGAAAGATAAGCAGAACTTGATTCTAAGATCAAGTTGCACCATTTTGTTGAAGTGAGATTCTGTTCATGCATCATTGTTCATACTTAAAAAGGTATTCTAGAAAGATTCCATTGTTAATTTACTCCCTATAATTGGAGTTGGAATAAAGATGTAAGAATCAGCATCATTTCAAACCCACAATATGAAAAGATATTCATATTATTAGGATGGTGTTTCCATCATGAATTCCCTTATCTTGAATAAAAGTCCAAAAGTAAATGATGCCTATCAAACTTTATAGTTAATTGATTCCCTAGCACTTGAAATGTTTGTGCAAATTTAACAGCCAGCAGAGGATAGTCCACTACTATCTTTCATCAAAGAACTCGAAGCTACAAAAACAAGACATCGTATATATTTGTAAATGTCTCTGCAATTTTAATTTGCTTTTCGTTATAGAGCCAAAGGAGAACATATGGCAATAATGAGTTGTTTCGAGCTTCCAGTGCAGCAGCCAAATAGGGATATGTCAGTGCAAGAATTCAAGGTGTGGATTACGCAATTCGACATGGATCATGACAAGCGTATTAGCCGCGAAGAACTAACTGAGGCACTTCAGAATCTACACATATGGTTCAGCTCATGGAAGGCTCGTCAAGTTATGAAAACTGCTGATACTGACCATACAGGTTTTATTGATAACAAAAAAGAAGTGGAGAAACTGGTAAGCTATGCCCAACAACGTTTACACATGAAAATCCATCAAAGTTAATTAGTTGTCAATATTTCTATGGCTTCTAGTTGTTAATGCTTCTCCTTTGATCGGATTGTGTTGTCATGGTTTTTTTTTTCTTCCTTTTTTTCCTTAAGCATTCGGCATAGAAATTCACTTGCCAAGTAATCAAAGTTCTTGCCAGATAGCCTCACCAAGGGATAAAACGCTTTTTATCAAGAAAACTTCATTTGGAGGGCTCGAATGAAACTCAAACCTCTAATTAAGGGTTGAGGGATCCTAACCATCGTATCATAGTTCTCGTGGTTGATGTGATGTTGTTATCTATGTAGCGTTGTTGCTCGTTATGTACATCAATAAAGTGACAAATTGTAATAGTTAACTCACACGGTTATTGTCACGATCCAAAATCCAACTAGTCGTGATGACATCTAAACCAACCTGCTAGGTAAACCAACTAACAATTATCCAATTCCAATAATATTTAATAAGACAATTAAGTAAAAGAAATTATCTGAATCTTATTCATTTCCCAAGGACAGGCAGTACAAATCATGAGCTTCTAAGATTAGAATTTACAAAGCTGATATGAAATAAATACATCATATGTTCAAAATGTACATAAACAGATTTTTTATAAATCTAAGGCTACCATGAACAAGAGGCAGCTACAACCGGAATGCAGGTACGTCTTCAATTCCAGCTCCAGTCGATCAGAGCAACATCAACATCCAATATCTGCGCGCAAGGTGCAGAAGTGTAGTATGAGTACAATCGACCCCATGTACTCAATAAGTAACAAACCTAACCTTAGGTTGAAAGTAGTGACGGGCTGGAACATAGGTCGGAATCCAACACCAATAGACAACAACGGTTCATAACAACATAATAAAAGTAATAAAAGAAGTAACTCGGAGATAAACTGCCCAGCTCATTCACAGTTCCAGAAAATAGGTCTGCCTTTCAAGCATTTAAGTGAAAAACCCAAATCTTTTATCGAAATCACCAAAAATATGAGTAAGTTTGAAAACTGTGATTTTTTCCAAAGGCTTTCAACAGGTAAATGTTTCATTTTCAAATGGCATGTGAAAAATACATCTCTATGCCTAAATGTCAATTTATGTGTGTCAACTGTCATACCAAACCATATGCATACTCTAGGTGCATCAATGCATTCAATCCTCCCAATCACTCAATCCTCACGGTCACTCAGTCATCATAGCCACTCAGTTCTCATAGCCACTCCGTGTACCCAATCACTCGGCACTCGCACTCAGTAGGTACCTGCGCTCACTGGGGGTGCGTACAGACTCCGGAGAGGCTCCTTCAGCCCAAGCGCTATAACAAGCCAATAATGGCATAAAATCAGTCAAATATGTTGCGGCGTGCAGCCCCGCTCCCATTATGAATCAATAAAATATGTTGCGGCGTGCAACTCGATCCCATAAACATCCTCACTATCAGGCCCTTGGCCTCATTAAGTCATCTATCTCTCCAGTCTCTCGGGCTCTCAATGTCATGAAAAATCAGCCAGAAATAATGATGTGATGTATCAATAAATAGCAACAGAGACTGAGATATGATATGCATATGAATGCGTATGACCAAGTATGTAAATGCAATGTAAGCAGATAATTCAACAGCATAAATGACCTCAGTGGGTCCCGACAGGATAAGCATGTGGCATAGACATGATTTCTAACATGGGTCACAGATCAATAGCTCTAATACGTAGAGATTTCATGGTTACAGATAAGATCAGTTAACTACACAGTACCAAAGGGATAACGAAGTCAAATTCACACATCGCACGCCCACACGCCCGTCACCTAGCATGTGCGTCACCTCAACACCAAACACATAACATGTAATTCGGGATTTCATACCCTCAGCACCAAGTTTAGAAGTGTTACTTAAACTCGAACAAGCCAAATCCAATACCGAGCAAGCCAAAGGATTCTCCGAAAATGCTATCACGCACATACCGACCTTCGAACAGCTCGAAATTAGCCAAAAGCAACTCAAACACATCAAATAATGCTAAAGAAAACAAACCCAAATCGATAAAGGTCGAATCCTTAATCAGAAGCCCAAAATCGGCCAAAAGGTCCAACCCGGCCTGCACCTCAGAACTCGACAAACTCACAAAATATGATACCTCATTCAATTATGAGTCCACCCATACTAATTTCACTCAAATCCAACCTCATATCGATGTTCAAAACTCAAAAATTCACATTATGAAACTTTAGGCAAAGCCCCCAATTTTCTCTTTAAATTCACAAATTAATTACCAAAAACGAAGATAGATTCGTGGAATATAACCAAAACTGAGTAGAGAACACTTACCCTAATTTATATTGTGAAAATTGCCCAAATCCGAGCTCCCCAACTCAAAATATGACCAAATAAACAAACCCTTGGTATTAAATATTTTTGCCCAGCTGTTCTGCCTCGTTTCATGTGCCAAACAATCCCGAAACTCGCTTGTGATACCTGCAATGTATTTCTTATAAAATTTCAGTCAAGATAGGCTTTTGAATCACCCAATTTGACTTTAAAATGAGGGAGATAAGATGTTTTGAAGTTTTAAATGAAGTCTGGAAATTTTAGGGATAAAAAATGACATTTTCGTAATTATTTTACACCAGAAAATCAGCAATGAAAGAATTTTCGTTTTAGCACCCAAAACTCATTTGGAACCTCCAGGACACAAAACATATATGCGTTTCAATCATAAAACACGCTACGAACCTGCTCGCGCACTCAAAACACCGAAAAGAGGTCATCTTGACCTGATATTGACCATGGTCAAACTCCAAATCATTAACTTAACTAGTTTCTCAACCAATGATCCGAAACACACCCGAGCCCCTCAAGACCCCATTGATTCATACCAACAAGTCTTAAATCACGATACGAAATTATTTGAAGCTTCAAATCACATTAAAAAAAATATAAAAATAACGAATCGCGCCTCAAATCAAAAATCAATAAACTTTGAACTGCTAACTTCCAAAACTCGCACCGAAACATATCAAATTAATTCGGAATGAACCCAAATTTTTCACACAAGTCCCAAATGCCAGAACCATGAGAAGTAATGGTTAAAAGTTTGCCGTTTTAAGTTTTGTTGTTTGTCGGTTTTCTTTTCCACATGTATTTCTCTCTATCAATTGAAAAGTAAAAGTTATACATAAAAGAAAGTTTAACATAATTTACAAGTACTCTGACATTGATGAAGTTTAACATAATTTTACAAGTACTCCGACATTGATGTAAACAAAATTACATAAATTGGAACTGTATATACCACCAAATTTAAGGAGCATTAAAGCTTGGATTGTAGATGTAGCATCGAGGTATCCTTTAGTAAAGAATGTCTTATAGTTCTCAAAAAAGAATGTATTTATACAATGGACTGATACCACTGGAAAATAATACTATAAAGTAAATATTGACTAGGTACAAGAATTAAATCCGTAATTTTACCAAAGTATATTGTTTACCCTTAAAACGGATAAAATTAAATTTGTACGCGGTTTAAAGGATATGTTATTTAATTTAACATAAATAAATAGAGAACAGTAAATAATTGAATTGAAATAAGAATAAACGATCAAACTAATAAGTTGAAGTAATTAGGCCCCGTGTCAGGCATAAATGCTAACAACCGGCCACAATCGAGTCCTCGAGATGGAGTTCGGATATGGCAAAGTCAGTGAACAACTCAAGAACATTTAAACAATTACTAAAAATCGGAATAAACTTTATTGCTTTGATATGCGTGCCAATGGTGACCAAAAAATAAAAGGATTCTCTTCTTTATATAATAGAGGAGTTTTAACCATAATACAAGTCTAAATAAGGTAAAAATTATTTTCTTCCTTTTCTCTCATGAAAACACGATTTATAACCAAAATCGAGCATGATCCATGCGTAATATCCGTCTGATAGCGTATATTTCGGCCATCTATTTGTCTTCTTTAACCGTTTTTTCCTTTACCATCGATCCTTCATATTGATCGAGCTAGATTCTCTTCGGGTTCAGCCATACTCGATTCCGTCTGTTCCCGATTCTGATCTGCGGGCACCCCTGGTCTCGCTCGAGCTACTAACTAGTAAAGTTGTTCCTCGCTTCTTAATGGGAAATCGGGTGTAACATTATCCTCTATTCAACCCTGTACATAGATAGTCCCCTCACTTCTCGGAGAGTAGATTATAGGAATAATGAGAAGTGATTAGTTGACCCCAGTTTCTTCTCTCATACATCATGAGCAAGTTGACGAACCCGAATGTCCCATCAGTCATGTTGCTTTGACTTTTGACACGCGTCAGTCGTTGGTTGATCACCCCCAGTAGTTACCGAATTTGAAACATCATGCATTCATTACTCTTTCCCTATAAATTTCCGATTTCCTATTTCACTTTTTTACTTTCTTATTTCAAACTTCCTTAAGTTACTCTCGAGCCTTTTATATCCTTATTCGTTCATCATTCCTTAAAATCTTCATAATTTGTTCTTCATATCTTCATATACTCACAGTTCATCTTCAAATCTTTATACCTTACCTTAAAACCTTCAAATTAATTCTTCAAATCTTCATATCTAGTCTTCAAATCTTCATAAACTTAGATAGAAATGGCGAAGACTTCAAAATTGGTACCCGAAAACACTGCACCAACGACTTCTTCCCCGGCCACGAACAGCGAGGAAGTGCCTCTGGTGGTAGCCCGGGACCTCCCCTTACAGATTTCATTCTCGGAGGCTGCTCCATAGATAACAAATTCAAGGCCGAGAAGCCTCTGCACAAAGAGACCAAGGTGAGAAAACGTGGAGGTACGTTTGCTCCATCACCGAAGATACGCTCAAGTAGTCCAGGAGGAGTACAAATGGGAAGGCAAGGACATAGTCGTTCCCAGTCCCGACGAGGACATCACGACACACGTGGAAGGATATTTCAGTATTTACACATATCCTTTCACATTCGGTCTGGTTGATACGGTGATCCTCGAGTTCTGTAAGAGGTACAAAATCTGCCTCGGGAAAGTTCACCTGTCCTTTTGGAGGATCGTGGCCCTTCTCCGTCATTTTGCGAACAATACGGAGGAGCCTCTATTCATGGTTGATCACCTGCTCCAAGTTTACAGCCCCCGAATCTTCCGAGGGCGGTTAATCAAACTTGCCCATCGGGCTAAGAAAGATCCCTTCTCTTGATAGACGAAGACAGGAACCGAGGTTGGAAGGGTAGGTTCGTTCGGATAAAGAGAGAGGACCTCATTCCTTCTGATTTCATGCCGTTCCCCAAGAAGTGGAACCCATATCGTAAGTTTACTTCCTCTTAAGTTTCAAAGTCCCTTCTTATACCTACTTTTCATTTTCATGACATGTTTTATTTGA